CATCGCTGCAACTCCCCAACTGGCTCGGGAGGCAAAGGTCGAGTCATGCGTCCTCCGAAACATGACCCGCCAAACCGCACTTCTTAACACCCGCCCACTTAACCAGGAAGCCAGCTGCACCAATGCGTCAGAGGAAACACAGTTCAACTGACGACCGAGGTCAACCTAAAGGTGCCTGGCCTGCCACAAGGAGTCGCTAGAGCGCGAAGAGCCAAGTAAAGCCCCCCCCCCCCCCGGCCAAACCCTCCCCTAACCAGGATGACGCTGGGCCAATTGTGCGCCGCCCTATGGGACTCCCGATCACGGCCGGTTGTGATACAGCCTGGGAACGAACCCTGGTCTGTAGTGACGCCTCTAGCACTGCGATGCCTTAGACCACTGCTCTTTTCTATAACCATAGGGAACACAATATATGGTCTATACTTGGCAAGTAGGTTTTCTCACTTATTTTCACGTCTACTCCCGCTCCCCCTCTCCGGCACTCGACGTCGCCGGTCTACTAACCACCTGTCCTGGCAACCCACCATTACGCACACCTGGCAACCCATCATTATGCACACCTGGCAACCCACCATTACGCACACCTGGCAACCCACCATTACGCACACCTGGCAACCCACCATTAACCACACCTGGCAACCCATCATTACACACACCTGGCAACCCATCATGAGGCACACCTGGCAACCCACCATTACGCACACCTGGCAACCTACCATTACGCACACCTGGCAACCCACCATTACGCACACCTGGCAACCCACCATTACGCACACCTGGCAACCCACCATTACGCACACCTGGCAACTCACCATTACGCACACCTGGCAACCCATCATGAGGCACACCTGGCAACCCATCATGAGGCACACCTGGACTTCATAATTCCCTGATTATGTTCCCTTTACCTAGCACTCCGTTGTCATCACCCATCAGGCAGTATTGTTTCTGTTTTCATGTTTAGAGCTACTCCTGTTTTTGTATTCGCTCTGTTCGTTCCGATTAAACTCACCGACCGCACCTGCTTCCTGACTCCCTGCGTTTCCGTTACACTTATGGGTGGCACAAATTGGGATATGAGAGAAGGGAATGGGTAGGGTATATACAAATGAAATACTGTAGTATTAATTCTGGTTTTTGCGGACTAGTGTTTTTGTTGACATTTCTACAGTGTTTTTTGTGTGGATAATACTGTAGTATAGATCGAGGGATACTACAGTGAGTAGTATAGTATTCTACAGTTTATTACATAATTCTATAGTAAGTACTGTAGTATTCTATAGTAAACTGTAGTACTTTTTATGTGGGCTGTAAATGTTGATAGTGAATCGTGAGGAGAGCCTGCCCTACTCTCTCTGTTGCTCCTGCACCTGCTTCCTCTTCCCTCTAACCCCCCATCTGTTACTGCTGTGTCTGCAAGTAGATTTTACAACGTGATGTTAGATGGCTTCTCACCCTGGAAGTAGTTTATGGGTCAGCAGAAACTGTATGTGTTCTATCAACTGAGCTCCAGAGGACCGCTTGTAATCTATGTTTCAGTTTTCTAATACTAGCACTTTCAATGATTGTTAGCCAGTGGTGGCTAAAGTTAGCTGAGGTTTGTGGTGACTGTTTAACCGAACCATGGATTACAGTTTCTCCTGGCCCATAGACTACTTTCAGGGTGAAAAACCCTGAAGTTGTACAATCAGGTTGTAAAATCCTGAACTTCCCCTTTTAATTATCGGAAGAGTAGATTGTGTGACTGACTAAATTTATTTATTTTTACAGAAGTTTACTGTTCCGTCAAACAATACCTCTCCAAAATGTTGGTATGAGCGACACCTCCTGCTTTTTATTGTCTGTCGCCGCAGTGTCAGAGGGCTCCACCTCCGCAGCCGCCGACCCGCAGAAACACCTCCACCGCAGCAGGGGGCGACGTCTCCATCTGACCCTTGTCTTAACAGTCATGCTCATCCTCTTCGCCCTGTCCTACCACCTGACCAGGAATGCATCCATCATGATGCGAATGGCTGTCTGCATCCTGGCAGCCCGTAGACCTCTCATTCTCCCTGGAGATCTGTCTATGTAGCCTAAACACCTGCGTCAACCCGCTGTGTAGCTGCTTTTTTGGGGGACGACAGTTTAGAGTTCCAGGCAGCACTCAGGGGTGAGTCGTGTGACGTCAGTAACAGGGATGTTTGAGAGAGAGAGAGAGAGAGAGAGAGAGAGAGAGAGAGGAGAGAGAGAGAAGAGATAGAGGAGAGAGAGAGAGAGAGAGAGAGAGAGAGAGAGAGAGAGAGAGAGAGAGAGAGAGAGAGAAACCAGAGGACCATTGGGCATGGCCAGGGCTTGGCTGCTGTCGCTCCACTGTGAATGCTGAAGGAAGAGACCATGATACAATAGTTTAAAAAATCCATCCTCTCCCCACGGCCTCCCTTGATTGGGGAATACTTGGCAGGTGGGTGTGTTCTAGATTGTCTTTATTGCAGCTGGACCACACAGATGATCAGATCTCGGTCACCACGCCTGGAGAAGTCTTTCTAGAGCTGCGCAGCATGACTGCAATAAAGACGACCTGGAAGGAGACCATGTCTGTGGTTAGTTGTCTTTCTCCTCAGCTCATAGGACTGGGCATAAGCTGCCTCTGCTTTTCAGGACCCTCGGTGTACAGTCGTGGTCAAAAGTTTTGAGAATGACACAAATATTAATTTTCACTAAGTCTGCTGCCTCAGTTTTTTATGATGGCAATTTGCATATACTCCAGAATGTTATGAAGAGTGATCAGATGAATTGCAATGAATTGCAAAGTCCCTCTTTGCCTTGAAAATGAAGTTAATCCCAAAAAACGTTTCCTCTGCATTTCAGCCCTGCCACAAAAGGACCAGCTGACATCATGTCAGTGATTCTCTCGTTAACACAGGTGAGAGTGTTGACGAGGACAAGGCTGTCATGCTGATTGAGTTAGAATAACAGACTGGAAGCTTTAAAAGGAGGGTGGTGCTTGAAATAATTGTTCTTCCTCTGTTAACCATGGTTACCTGCAAGGAAACACGTGCCATCATAATTGCTTTGCACAAAAGGGCTTCACAGGCAAGGATATTGCTGCTAGTAAGATTGCACCTAAATCAACCATTTATCGGATCATCAAGAACTTCAAGGAGAGAGGTTCAATTGTTGTGAAGAAGGCTTCAGGGCGCCCAAGAAAGTCCAGCAAGCGCCAGGACCGTCTCCTAAAGTTGATTCAGCTGCGGGATCGAGGCACCACCAGTGCAGAGCTTGCTCAGGAATGGCAGCAGGCAGGTGTGAGTGCAATTTTGCCTAAGAACACAGCCATGAATAAAGAATGGTACCAACACATCCTCCGAGAGCAACTTCTCCCAACCATCTAAGAACAGTTTGGTGACGAACAATGCCTTTTCCAGCATGATGGAGCACCTTGCCATAAGGCAAAAGTGATAACAAAGTGGCCCAGGGAACAAAACATCAACATTTTGGGTCCATGGCCAGGAAACTCCCCAGACAATCCCATTGAGAACTTGTGGTCAATCCTCAAGAGGCGGGTGGACAAACAAAAACCCACAAATTCTGACAAACTCCTAGCATTGATTATGCAAGAATGGGCTGCCATCAGTCAGGATGTGGCCCAGAAGTTAATTGACAGCATGCCAGGGCGGATTGCAGAGGTCTTGAAAAAGAAGGTTCAACACTGCAAATATTGACTCTTTGCATAAACTTAATGTAATTGTCAATAAAAGCCTTTGACACTTATGGAATGCTTGTAATTATACTTCAGTATACCATAGTAACATCTGACAAAAATATCTAAAAACACTGAAGCAGCGAACTTTGTGAAGACTAATACTTGTGTCATTCTCAAAACTTTTGACCACGACTGTAGTTGAATGCATGCAGCATATTTGTGTAAACTTTGTTTCTGATGTAGATATTTTTCAATAAATTTTTGCTACAGTTGTCTGTCTTTGATCTGTACTCACATATTTTTTTTAATCTGTATATGTTTGTTACTTTGTTTTGTACTGAGCATGGACATTTTATGCATGTCACTTTCATGGCACATATTCAATAACTCAGTCAATTAGACGTCAATAAAACTGTTGAATCAGTCCTGAGGGTTTTTCTGAGAGCCAGATCTTATCGTGTCCATTGATGTTGCTGTAGCCCTGTAAGCAGCCGCATGCTTTTCAACGCAACGCTTCTTCTGTGCGGTTCCTATAAGTAGTACACTCTTATTTGCATTCCCAGTGATTACGTTTCCCTAGTAGATAGCTAGTTCATCATCCATGTGTTTTCCAAGGCAATATTTCCAATTGCATTTTGAGCTACGAAAATATAAATAATAAAATACTGTAAAAACACCAGCAAATCAGCTCCAAGTGATTTTAATTTTTGAAATCTGTTCCAAAATATTCTCAGGCATAATAGAGAGATATATGTGATCGTATGCAAATGTAAGCAGGGTTTGAAACGATTATGATTTAGTTAAATTTGATATCTGTTTGGGCTTCTTGTGGTCAATTTGCAGTCTACAAATTATTTGTAAATATGTTCCGGCCCCCTGACCATCCGCTCAAGACAAAATCGGCCCATGGCTGAATCTAGTTGATGATCCCTGCCCTAGAGGACTTGATTCACGTAATCTGGTTACCATAGTACCCCCCCCCCCCCCCCCCCCCCCAGAGCCCTGGAATGGCCCTTTGAAATATCACTCTGTTAACCGCCAGAGATGGAGAGATGGAGAGAAAGGAAGGAATTGAAAAGTTGACTAGGGTCTACAGAGGCTCTAAACTGAGGACAAACGTTTATGTTTTCAGGCTAAACAATAATCATGCTTTAGTCACGAAGTGTGTAACTTAATCTACATCAACCTTGCCAATATGAACACACCCTCATTGGTTAAAAAAACAACAACTAGAAAACCCCTGGTAGAGAAGAGAGAGGAGTGTGCGCATGTGTTGTGTATCGCGCGCCGCTGAGTGGAGCTGTCGACAGGTACGTGACACAGCTGACTGGACGCGCGCAGCCGTTCGCTCTCCGTGGTGCTGAATGTTCTCCTAACCGCTACCTGCCTCACCGTAGATCCTCACGAAAGATAAGGGAGAGTGGAGCTTCTTCCACTGGAAAATAGCCATACAATTTTGGACTTTTCCGCATAATCATCGACGTTGTTTTCTCTCTTGATCTTATCATATTATGGATACATTTCAAACCTTATCAAAAGGGTGATTATTAATTTTTTTTTACCAATTGACTGGGATCTGTAGCCTACAAGATGGCACTGAATGGATGTACATTGCATAAGGCAAAGGAAGATTTATCAGACTGCTGTTTTGTGACTGTGAAACCATACCATATCAGATTGTTCGCCTAATTCTGCAATATAATCGTTTTTTCTCAGCTCATTCAATACACCTGGCATTGGATGTCTAAACCTCGATTTTCTTCCCAGAAAGAGGCACATAATTCGGAATAACATTTGACCAAATATGTTTAACAATATTCCCTATTTGAATTCTTTATCGTAATATCAAAGAAATCGAGCTGAAATCAAGAAGAATTTGGAATCATGGAATCCGAACCCGAACCCGTTAAGCATCGGGCTTTCCCGCCCAGTAAAGAAGGGCTGAAGAATTTGGCAGGAAAGACCTTCGGCCATCTGTACAGGTAAAGAAAATATCTCGAACACTTCCCCTTACTCTCTGTCTACTTTTCACCTCGGTAATAAATAGGGAATTGAAATGTTAAACTATATATCCATATGCAATGCAGGTGTGAATTGCCTCCTGTCTCATCCAGGCAATGAGAAAAAAATCTCACTAGCACCCAAACCCCATGAGAAATAAAATCTCACTTGCACCAAAAACCAATGAGAAAATAAATCTCACTTGCAAATTGGTTGCTGTGATTCTGGACTAAATTCAAAAGAGAAAAACACATATTTTTAGATGAATTATCAACAGGACAGGAATTGGAAAAGCACAATAATATCAGAGTGGTCGAATATTTAAGGATCTGTTATTTCCCGGGAGAGTGAGGGTTGTGTTTTAAATAATTAATGCAACAGAACGCGTCGTGACACAAGGGGTCGGGGATATCTGTTACATTATATATTCATCAGTATTAATCAAAATCGATCTGTTTGATATCAACTGTCATGGAACACACTCTGTTCTTTGTGGTGGTGTAAAATGCGACACTGCATTGGAATCAGGGAATAGATTTTTACAGGAAGATTGTAGGCTACTCCGTTGAAGAAAATACTCGATATATATAGGCTACCATGGTGATCACATTTATTGTTTCTAAATTCAGGTTTTGATCGAATCATTTAAAATAATAGAAAAAAATGATCATTCTAAATTGGCTAGATTGAAACACATGACTTTCCAAAAGCATAATTTAGGCTAATTAATTTCGTTTTTCGTGACTGAAAATAATGTGATTTTCACTATAAATATTGATGATTGATTGGAACAAAATTGTAAAACACATATACAATTTAAGAGCTAATAAAAATGTTTTACACTGCATTTTATTAGCAATCAAACATCTATTTTTTAAACATCTGTTTTTTTTTCGTGGTTTATTCATTCCAGTGTTTCTATTCCCTGTGGTTGGAGATGTTAACCATTCCACTGAATAGTAATGCCGTGATACATCACACAATTCAATGTTGGCAGAAAGACTCTTGGTTTTCCTATGCAATCTTATCTTATCACCTCGATCGAATTTAGTAGCCTATAATTTGTTATGATACATCTTACATTTTAATCTAATAAAATTCAAAACGCGATATTTATACATTTAATTGGTTATCTTATTGAGCTCTCAGTATACCGACACAGACTAATGTCCAAATGTAGCATAAATGTAAGTGCTGCTGCAATGCGGTATGAAGGTCGTTTTATTGTATTCATTTAGCCAAGCTGTCATTCTTAGAACAGGTGGAAATTAAACGTTCAACGGAACATTAAATGGTAAAATTTTTAAATTTACATTTTGCAGACGCCCTTATCCAGAGCGACTTACAGTTAGTGAGTGCATACATATTATTTTTTTTTCATACTGGTCCCCCGTGGGAATCGGACCCACAACCCTGGCGTTGCAAACACCATGCTCTACCAACTGAGCTACACGGGACTCTGTTATAGTATCGCAAATAACATCAGCACTCTACTCTTGATTTGCACTTCAGAGTAAAATTACTACAATTTTCCAGGCTATTTGAAATTGAGTTTCAATATTTGAAGAAAAACAATATTTTTTCTCAAGTTTATTTTTTTTAAGAGACAAAAACAGAAAGTAATTCTGTCTAATTTAGAGAATTAACACTTTTTTCATACCAATCGAATGATCTTCAAGAATTCCTTCAAACGTTCAAAATAAGTGGATTACATGAAATAAATGTATATATCCTTATTTTTTAACCCTATAATACAACGAAATGTCCCCTCTTCCTCACCATAGCTATCTATCTACTGTTAATTAACTTAGCCTATAGACCTATTCAATTTAAACTGTTTGCCATATAACTTTTAAATAGGCCTGATAATTGCAAGAATAGCCAAATATTTGGAGGATTTTTTTCAAGGAAATAAAGGATGTTATTAATAGTCCTACTGGTGCTTGTTTGGTCTAAAGGGTGGTGGAGAAACGTCAGAAGACAGGTGAGGTGATCGAGCTAACGGAGGACGGACGGCCGTCGGAGCAACGAGAGAAGAAACCGCCTTTATGTGACTGCACGTGCTTCGGCCTCCCGCGCCGTTACATCATCGCAATCATGAGCGGCCTCGGATTCTGCATCTCCTTCGGCATCCGGTGTAACCTGGGCGTGGCTATCGTAGGCATGGTCAATAACAGCACCATGCACAAGGACGGCAAGATCGTCATCACAGAGGTGCCTATCATATTTTCTGCATTTCAAATGGCACACTATTCCATAATGCACTACTTTTGATCAGGGGCCAATCCGTCCCAAATGGCACCCTATTCCATACATAGTGAACTGGTTTTTTACCAGAACCCTAGGGCCCCTCAAATGGCACCCTATTCCATACATAGTGAACATGGTGATCAGGGCCCCTCAAATGGCACACTATTCCCTATGGGACCTGGTCAAAAGCAGTGCGCTATATAGGCAGTGAATTGGTTGGCACTTGGAATGGAACCATATGACCAAGTCCCCGCCCCCCTCTTCTTCTGCATATGAGATAGCGAGGCACGATTTCAATTGAATGAGTCATCCAACAAACAGACACCATAGCCCACATAAGCCCCGCAGTCATCACGACTTTTAGGATAGGGCATAATGTTTGCAAACTTAAATTCGCAAATGAATAGAGTTGGAATTCAAACTTTGATCCTTTTTCCATCCCTTTCTGTTGGCCCAAGCAACATTCTTGTTGGAATGACCTTATAAGAATCGAACGCCTGTATGACAGTATTATTTGAAACATTTCACACAATTTGAGTCGATGTTTATGAAAAAGAGGACAATCAGGACATTGTTATGCATATGGTTCATGAATAACTCACCCTTGTGTTTCTACGTGTTATTGTTTGGTTTTGGGAAGAAAGCGAAGTTCAACTGGGATCCAGAGACGGTGGGGATGATCCACGGTTCATTCTTCTGGGGTTACATCGTCACACAAATACCCGGAGGGTGGATATGCTCACGACTAGCAGCAAACAGGTAAATGTCATCAGAAAATTTGATTTTAACCATATTAAATAGTATAACATGTATCTATAGTGAAGTTTCCTTTGGGAAAAAAGTAGGCCAAATAAAGTTATTATAGTATATTCCTTCCTGTTCAATTCTAGCTGCTTCTCATCTATCTACCTGTGAGATGTATAAGCAGAGAACATAGTTTCAGTTTGAAGCAGACACTTGCTAAAGCCAGATGCGGATGTCAGACGCAGACGGGTGGATTTAGCGGTGTCGCGGGGGAGGGGGGGGGGGGGTTAGGCTCTGACCTCGCGCCAGATATTGGGGATTCTATTAGTGGCGGCGAGGCGTGCCTCCTCGTGCCTCATCGTGATAATGAGCTCCCGCGGGACTTCCGTGTCGAATCTTATTTTTTTCTTCGGTGGGAGGCATGGCAACGGGTAGTAGTAATGCGAGACATGTTATGTGCACTCGTGTGTTCACAAGATAGGAAGATATAAAAATGAACAAGTAGGCCTATAATTTTAATTACCAATTGTTGCTTTAAATTAAATGTTCACCTTTCATTAGACAACATTATAGGCTATATACACAACCATAAGAAAATAATGTATGTGGAAATAGGCAATATTCTATTCTGTAAATCGCTCTGGATAAGAGCGTCTGCTAAATGACTAAAATGCAAATGTAAATGTATTATATTATATTCCTATCCACATTGAGACAGGATTGAGATGAGAAATGTTCTATTGGTTTAGTGTAATTCAGCAGGGACCAGCTGAGCACCTTCTGCTGTAGCAGACAGACTCTGTCCTCACCTTCTCATTTCACCCCTAAACGAAGCTTCAGCTGAAATTAACACGTTTTATTTCAGTATGCTACAGGTGTTTGGTTCTTTCTTTTCTAATTTCTTGATTATTTTACGTTTTAAACGTCCAGCATGATAGTTAGAATAAATAGAGCGTAAACAGGAATATTTTAGCTGTAGATGAAATATGATAATAATGAAACCATTTTGTTGGAACATCATTCCATGTACAGTATTTTATGTCCACTTCGGTTTAAAGCACAGTATTCATTCAATTGATATGCTAGGGACAGCTAATGTATGGGATTGGGATTGGATGGATTACAAATAGTGTTTCAATTGTTTTCCCCTTTTGTTCATAGAGTGTTTGGGCTAGCCATCTTCCTGACGTCCACCCTCAACATGCTCATCCCCTCCGCGGCTCGGGTGGACTACCGCTGCGTCATCTGCGTCAGGATACTACAGGGTCTGGTGGAGGTAAAACCGTGGGCTGCTGATTGGTTGGTTTGGTTGGATGGGGATTTCTTACAGCATTCTGTGTCCTACACCACACTCGTTGTTTAACCTTCCACTGACGTCAGAATACCTATTCCCCAAGGGAGACCTGGTCATTAATTATGCATATCAGCATTAAAAGAAACCAATAGGTATGTACAAATCAATAACACGAGAAAGGTCCACAAGACACGTCTCTGCTGCTAACTAAGATGCCTCTCTGCTTCCCATTACTCCCAATAATACAGTTAAATACTGTAGGTCTGGTTGTAGAATGCAGCACTGTTCTTATTGGATGCCCTAGTTGTGGCTCAGTATTATGGAGAGTGTCTATTTCTAGACGTTTGATGTTCATTCAAGATCATCACAGAGGTCACATGACCGGTATACCATATCACTAAAGCATTAGTGTTCATGGAAGTCTACTGTGTACACAGGTACACGGATAATGCATTTTTAAAAATGTGCACGCTTTAAAATGCAGCATCGTTCTATCCGTGTAACTGCATACAATGGATGCTGTTTTTGTGGGGAACCACTTAGACTCTTTCATACCTGACCCTGAGCTTTAGAGCAAACAAGAAACATACCTGAGAAATATGGGGGGGAGGGGGAGAGACGTAGGGATGTTCACATATAAAGAAACATACCAAAAGACGGGACAACAAAGTGACGTCATCATCAAACCAAATAGAGAATGAAAGGATGATGTAGCAGCAGTGAAAGAATACTATCCGACTGAAGGATGATGTAGCAGCAGTGAAAGACTACTATCATTTACATTACAGTCATTTAGCAGACGCTCTTATCCAGAGCGACTTACAGGAGCAATTAGGGTTAAGTGCCTTGCTCAACAGGCACATCGACAGATTTTTCACCTAGTCGGCTCGGGGATTAGAACCAGCGACCTTTCAGTTACTGGCACAACGCTCTTAACCACTAAGCTACCTGCCGCCCCGGCAGTCTGAAGATCATCCTTCCTTTATTATTATTTTTCATTTTAATGCTCCTGTTCTATGAATAGAATCCTCCCTCCCTCCCTATCGCTCCAACAGCCAGCCTCCATCCGCCAGCCCTCCAGCCGCCCATCCCGCATCGCGCCACTCGCACTCTCCACCTCCATATCGCCATCCCCTCCATCCCTCTCCATCCTCCAGCCTCCATCCGCTCAGCCTCCACCCTCATGCGCCTCCACTCTCCACCCCGCCATGCCCAGTCTCCAGCCCGCTCCATCCCTCTCCAGCCCTCGCCATCCTCCACGGCTCTCCCACCCCGCCATCCTCCACTCTCCATCCGCACCATCCCCTCCACTCTCCATCCCCACCGCCTCCAGCTCTCCAGCTCTCCATCCCCGCCCGCCTCCCCTCGCCCATCCTTCCATCCCTCCACCTCCCACCTCACTCCATGCCTCGCAGCCCCATCTCCAGCCACGCTCCAGCCCTCGCCATCCTCCATCCTCCATCTCTCCAACCCACTCATCCATCTCCATCCCGCCACTCGCCATCCCGCCCAGTCTCCCATCCCCTCCCCATCTCTCCATCTCTCCACTCTCCATCCCTCTCCATCTCTCATCCCCATCCTCCATCCCTCCATCTCTCCATCTCTCCATCCTCTCCATCCCTCTCCATCCCCCCCCATCTCTCCATCTCTCCATCCCTCTCCATCCCCCTCCATCTCTCCATCTCTCCATCTCTTCATCCCTCCATCCCTCAGTAAAGAAACAGAAGCAGTCTGTGTCTGTGCTCTGTGCTCCATGTGCATCGACTTATTACTGCAAATTAAACATTAGCATTTCAGGGTGACTCCCACAGCAAGCCCAAGCAATTTGTGTCTATCAATAGTTGATTGTGTGCCACTTACTGAGTAATTGAAAATGTATGGGAGCAACGAAGTAGGCTCGTTAGCTTGAGTCTGCCCTGGCTGACTCAGTCTCAGGTTATGTCTCAAATGGCACCCTAATCCATATATAGTCTCAAATGGCACCCTATTCCATATATAGTCCCAAATGGCACCCTATTCCATATATAGTCTCAAATGGTGCCCTATTCCATATATAGTCTCTAATGGCACTTTATTCCATATATAGTCTCAAATGGCACCCTATTCCATATATAGTCTCAAATGACACCCTATTCCATATATAGTCTCAAATGGCACCCTATTCCATATATAGTCTCAAATGGTGCCCTATTCCATATATAGTCTCAAATGGCACCCTATTCCATATATAGTCTCAAATGGCACCCTATTCCATATATAGTCTCAAATGGTGCCCTATTTCATATATAGTCTCAAATGGCACTTTATTCCATATATAGTCTCAAATGGTGCCCTATTCCATATATAGTCTCAAATGGCACTTTATTCCATATATAGTCTCATATGGCACTTTATTCCATATATAGTCTCAAATGGCACCCTATTCCATATATAGTCTCAAATGGCACCCTATTCCATATATAGTCTCAAATGGTGCCCTATTCCATATATAGTCTCAAATGGCACTTTATTCCATATATAGTCTCAAATGGTGCCCTATTCCATATATAGTCTCAAATGGCACTTTATTCCATATATAGTCTCAAATGGCACCCTATTCCATATATAGTCTCAAATGGCACCCTATTCCATATATAGTCTGAAATTGCACTTTATTTCATATATAGTCTCAAATGACACCCTGTTCCATATATAGTCTCAAATGGTGCCCTATTCCATATATAGTCTCAAATGGCACTTTATTCCTTATATATTCTCAAATGGCACTTTATTCCATATGTAGTCTCAAATGACACCCTATTCCATATATATTATTCCTTAAGCAGTGCACTACTTTTGACCAGGGCCAAATAGAGTGCCATGTAAGACACAGCATACAGTCCCACCTCAACCCATTTATCCAGATTAGGAAAGTTCAGCTCAGATGTGTCATGTCAGTTAGTTTTTGATAAGATATAATTATCTTGCTTGTATTTGACTAATGAGAGAAACTGGCTGCTCAGTTGTCAGTGCCATTTACATACACTGACTCATCCCAATCGGATTTAATACTGAATATTTGTTTGAAGATATTAAATCCTATTTGATTAAGTCATTTGGAAATTGTCCACGTCGTTTTTAAGGTCAGGATATAAGAGAGGAATTAATGTAGGACTGAATTACATGACCCAGTCTGTCTGTCCGTCTGTTTGTCTGTCCGTCTGGACTGGACTACATTGACCCACTCTGTCGGTCGGTCGGTTTGTCCGTTTCTCTGTCCAGTCTGTCTGTCTGGTCAACAGGATTGCCATATTTTCTGTGTTCCTCCATAGGGAGTGACCTACCCAGCCTGTCATGGCATCTGGAGTAAGTGGGCCCCACCACTGGAGCGGAGCCGTCTGGCCACCACGTCCTTCTGTGGATCCTATGCTGGTGCTGTGATAGCCATGCCTCTGGCTGGGATCCTGGTCCAGTACTCTGGCTGGTCCTCCGTCTTCTATCTGTATGGTAAGTTCATCAGCTGGAAAAACAGTGCCAATTGGTACTGAGTGGACCACCCTGGCTAATTCACTGTTCACAGTTAAAATACCTACATCTGTCCTAGGGGATCCTTTTTGAGACAAAGATAGTCTATTTTAGTTTTTTGCTTCTCTCTCTCTCTCTCTCTCTCCTTCTCTCTCTCCTCTCCTCTCTCTCTCTCTCTCTCTCTCTCTCTCCTCTCTCTCTCTCTCTCTCTCTCTCTGTCTCTCTCTCTAGGCTGCTTTGGGATGTTCTGGTACATGTTCTGGATCCTGGTGTCCTATGAGAGCCCAGAGGTTCACCCCACCATCACCGCCGAGGAGAGACGTTACATCGAGGAGAGTATCGGAGAGGGTCAAGAACTATTCGGTCCGGCTAGCGTGAGTTCCTCTCCTTCTCTTCTCCTCCTGCTCCACCTATCCAACTAACTGACATGTGCTCTGCTATTACACCTATGGCTCTGTAGAAATACAAGACTCCGTGGAGGAAGTTCTTCACCTCAATGCCCGTCTATGCCATCATCGTGGCCAACTTCTGCAGGAGCTGGACCTTCTACCTGCTCCTCATCAGCCAGCCAGCCTACTTCGAGGAGGTGTTCGGCTTCGAGATCAGCAAGGTAAAATGACGAGCCATTCACTCACAATGCCAGCCGGGTATGAATAGTTGGCTTGATTTGTGTAACACATACCGTGCAGACAAAACTCATCAGACGTTCAAATAAAAAAAAATCTGTTGTATCAGAACCATTGTGTCAAATGCATTGTACATCACCGAGTGTTACAGGGGGCATATCAATTGCTGCACGGAGTACCAGTGTTGGATTTCATTTCCACTTCGTAACGTTGAGGGTAAATGTCCCCTAGACACCAAACACAGACACATTCTGGTCTGCGTCCCAAATGGCAACCCTATTGGGGGCACTACTTTAAACCAGGGCTCTGATCAAAAGTAGTGCAATGAATAGTTTGAATAGATTGTTGTTCCCAGGGAGACGATATAACTCAGGCAGTTCTGACAGGCGTAATTCAGGTGCTGGGTGGATCTCTGGCCTCTTGTGGATCAGGGGGTGTGAATTATAGCCTGGGGTGTGATATTGGGGTCAGGGGTTAAAGCTCGTACTAAGATTTGTTCTGGGAGAATCACTGTTTTTTGGGGGATATACATTTTGAGCTGTCATATTGGAGGATGGATTTAGAGGTGCAGCTTGAAAGATGATATCTCGGTTTTGTCCTCCCTCGCACCCTGCAGTGTTATTGTTATCATGATACATTATCCCATCATGATACATTATCCCATCATGATACATTATCCCATCATGATACATGGGAACATGTCAAGCCCATGAATGACAAACTAATCTGCATTTGAAAGTTCTCAACACATAACAACATACAAGGAGAAAATACACAAATGTTGGAAACAGACTTCTGAAATGAACTTTGACACTTAACGAATATGTATCTAGATAGGCCATTTCATGGATTGTCAGTTTGCATTGACTGCCATGTTGATGTTAATTACAGTCAACTTGAAACTTGAAATGTTTATGGTTTACTATTTGTGTTGTCAGGTGGGCATGGTGTCAGCCCTGCCTCACTTACTGATGACCATCATCATGCCCGTTAATGTTATTCCTATTGTTGATGTTTGTGTTGTCAGGTGGGCATGGTGTCGGCCCTGCCCCACTTGGTGATGACCATAATCGTGCCCATCGGAGGACAGCTGGCTGACTGGCTACGCAGCAGGAACATCCTGTCTACTACCACCGTCAGGAAGATCATGAACTGTGGAGGTGAGGGCTACATAAGGACTTCATAAGGACTTCATAAGGACTTCATAAGGGCTACATAGAGACTTTGTAACACATTCATAATCTATACAGATCATCCTGTCAACTTCCACCATCATGTCTGGAAGATCATGAACTGTAGAGATAAGGATTAGATACATAAGGACTTCATAACACATTCATAACCTGTTCATAACACATTCATAACCTATACATAACACATTCATAACCTATACATAACACATTCATAACCTATACATAACACATTCATAACCTGTTCATAACACATTCATAACCTGTTCATAACACATTCATAACCTATACATAACACATTCATAACCTATACATAACACATTCATAACCTATACATAACACATTCATAACCTATACATAACACATTAATAACCTGTTCATAACACATTCATAACCTATACATAACACATTCCTAACCTGTTCATAACACATTCATAACCTGTTCATAACACATTCCTAACCTCTTTATAACACATTCCTAACCTATACATAACACATTCCTAATCTGTTCATAACACATTCATAACCTGTTCATAACACATTCATAACCGCTTTATAACACATTCCTAACCTATACATAACACATTCATAACCTCTTCATAACACATTCCTAACCTCTTTATAACACATTCATAGCCTATACATAACACATTCATAACCTCTTCATAACACATTCCTAACCTGTTCATAACACATTCATAACCTCTTCATAACACATTCCTAACCTCTTCATAACACATTCATAACCTATACATAACACATTCATAACCTGTTCATAACGCATTCATAACACATTCAACACCCAGAACATCGCTGATCCACGTCACCAAGGATAATAACTACGCTGTAGGTCACCAAGGATAATAACTATGCTGTAGGTCACCAAGGATAATAACTAGGCTGTAGGTCACCAATGATAATAACTATGCTGTAGGTCACCAAGGATAATAAAAAACTACGCTGTAGGTCACCAAGGATAATAACTACGTGTATGTCACCAAGTCATAATAACTAGGCTGTAGGTCACCAAGGATAAAACTAGGCTGTAGGTCACCAAGGGATAATAAACTGGCTGTAGGTCACAAGGATAATAACTAGCTGTAGCGTCACCAAGGATAAAATAGGCGTAGGTTCACCAAGGATAATAAAACTAGGTTGAGGTCACCAAGGATAATAATTAGGCTGATAGGTCACCAAGGAAATAAACTAGACTGTAGGTCACCCAAGGATAATATAGCTGTAGGTCACCAAGGATAATAACTAGGAGTGTAGGTCACCAAGGATAATAACTAGGCTGTAGGTCACCAAGGATAATAACTAGGCTGTAGGTCACCAAGGATAATAACTAGGCTGTAGGTCACCAATGATAATAACTAGGCTGTAGGTCACCAAGGATAATAACTAGGCTGTAGGTCACCAAGGATAATAACTAGGCTGTAGGTCACCAAGGATAATAACTAGGCTGTAGGTCACCAAGGATAATAACTAGGCTGTAGGTCACCAAGGATAATAACTAGGCTGTAGGTCACCAAGGGTTAATAACTAGGCTGTAGGTCACCAAGGATAATAACTAGGCTGTAGGTCCCAAGGATAATAACTAGGCTGTAGGTCCCAAGGTATAATAACTATGCTGTAGGTCACCAATGATAATAACTAGGCTGTAGGTCACCAAGGATAATAACTAGGCTGTAGGTCACCAAGGTTAATAACTAGGCTGTAGGTCACCAAGGTAATAACTAGGCTGTAGGTCACCAAGGATAATAACTAGGCTGTAGGTCACCAAGGTAATAACTAGGCTGTAGGTACCAAGGATAATAACTAGGCTGTAGGTGACCAAGGATATAACTAGGCTGTAGGTCACCAAGGATAATAACTAGGCTGTAGGTCACCAAGGATAATAACTAGGCTGTAGGTCACCAAGGATAATAACTAGGCTGTAGGGTCACCAAGGATAATAACTAGGCTTGTCACCAAGGATAAAGGCCTTGTAGGTGATCCACGGATAATAACTAGGCTGTAGGTGGCACCAAGGATAATAACTAGGCTGTAGGGTCACCAAGGATAATAACTAGGCTGTAGGTCACCAAGGATAATAACTAGGCTGTAGGTCACCAAGGATAATAACTAGGCTGTAGGTCACCAAGGATAATAACTAGGCTGTAGGTCACCAAGGATAATAACTAGGCTGTAGGTCACCAAGGATAATAACTAGGCTGTAGGTCACCAAGAAGCGCACTAACAGTAATAGGGATTTCCTTTACTCTTGCTTGCACTGATTTTGCAGATAGTGACTTGTTTAAAGTGGGTTTCACTTGCAATGGTTGTGATATGAGGTTGTTTTACTATACCTACTGATTGAAAGTCACTCTAGATAAGAGCATCTGCTAAATGACTAAAATGTCATGCAAATGGTCAAAGGTAGGCAATGACCAATGCTGTGTCTGTGTGTTGTTGCCTGTGTGCAGGGTTTGGAATGGAGGCCACCTTGCTTCTTGTGGTTGGTTTCTCTCACACCAAGGGTGTGGCCATCTCTTTCCTGGTCATGGCTGTCGGCTTCAGTGGCTTCGCTATATCAGGTGAGTACTAGAACATTTTAAAGATTTGCAAACAATTAAAAGTTGAACACTCTCTTTTAGGCCGGGATTTGATCATTTCGCGCTTTGTCGGGTATGCACCTTTCAAAGGCAGTATTTCTGCGTTCACAAAAAATAAAAATAAATACAACCTTTAACAATTGCTTAATCCGCGTTATTCTGTGAATTGAGTGGACTTCAAATGGACAAGAATTTGAGATAATGTGTTAGTTTGTTTACGCAACAAACTCTGCTCGAAGTGAGCTAAACTTGAACAAGCTTGTTGAGTAAAATTACAAATTCATGTTTGCTCCAAACCACTCACATCATTATCATATTTCCCAGCATGCTCTATCGCAGGTTGATTTTCAAAAAAGTTTGTTTCAGTATATGGCTTTTCCAGTTGATATGATTTAGGTAGTCTTAATAATCAATCTTCCCTACCCCGGCAGTCATTCTCAATGCAGGTTGCGGATGATTAAAAGTTCCAATTGTTGGAACTACACATGACTTTGCAAGCTTGATGTGGCGTTTCAGACCACTGTGTTAGGGGGTAACTGAACCCTCAAATAAAGGTATTCTGATATACTGTTTCAAATCTTGTGTCATACATTTTTTAATTTGAAAGATAACAACGCTACACGTTCACTTGGACACTCACTTGGTGAACGCTACAGGACCGAAAGGCATTGAATACAACAACCATGTCTCTGTCGCTAACAAACACAGTCATGGGGTGGTAACTACAATTCACTCAAAAAGGCACAAATATGCAAATAAAGGTAGAATAAATGATCTGGTTGAATTGTGTGTTCACTCAACCTAAAATTCTGATTTTAAAATCACATACACTGCACTGTTGATCTTTCTTGACCATTTTCATTAAAACGATGTACTCTGTAGGTTTCAATGTGAACCACCTGGATATCGCCCCCCGCTACGCCAGTATCCTGATGGGTATATCTAACGGTGTGGGAACCCTGTCAGGGATGGTTTGCCCTCTAATCGTGGGGGCCATGACCAAAAACAAGGTGCACATTCTGTTTCAGAAAGCTAGTCGTTTTTTGGGTATGTGCTTAACAGTTGCGGCTGGTGACTTAAATGTTGTACAATTCCCAACTGGTTAACCACAATACACCACTATAATTGTTATGGTTTACCATGTATAGACAAAGTATGTTCCTTCACGCCAACAGAAGTTCAAGTTCAAGTTTATTTGTCCTGTTATAATCACATTTGAAATCTTACTCACCAGAGCTCCCATTTCCTGTGTGTTCTGGCATCACTTCCTGTCTCTAGACTCGAGAGGAGTGGCAGTGGGTGTTCCTCATCGCTGCCCTGGTTCACTACGGAGGGGTCATTTTCTACGGGATCTTTGCGTCGGGCGAGAAGCAGCCGTGGGCCGACCCGGAGCTGACCAGCGACGAGAAGTGTGGCTTCATCGACGAGGACGAGCTGGCAGAGGAGACGGGTGACATCACACAGGGCTATAGTGGTGGCATGGCGGCAATAGGGGCAGGGAAGAGTTACGGGGCCACTACAACTGGGCTCAACGGAGGCTGGGTGGCCCCAGACAGCTGGGAGAAAGTAGAGGAGGAACCAGCCGGACAGACCTGGGCAGATTGAGACTGCTCACAGAACAGGGTCGGGCGTATCGAGCGTATCAGAGTAGAAGTGCTGATTTTGGATCAGGTTAGCCTTTTATATCATAATGAATAATATTTAATATACAGGGTGGCTGATCCTAGTTTAGCACTCCTACTCTGAGATGCTTGATACATACGGCCCCAGATATAATCATGTTATGGCAGCGGTGGCGTGTTCTAGCCTGGTTTCTGATCTGTTTGTGCTGTCTTGCACAAACTCCTACAATGACCATAGACAACTCCTACAACGACCACGGCACAAACAGATCTGGGACCACGCGAGGGGGAGGTTCACCCACTAAAGAGAGAGAAGAGAGAGAGGGGGGGGGGAGAGATGATAGAGAGAGAGAGCAGAGTATGAGAGAGAGAGATAGAGAGATAGATCGCCTCTTGGCTGTGAGAGCTGCATTCTGGATCGGATCTATCTCTGGCTACGCTTCTTTGCTCTCTGGCTCTTATTTTTGGGGTGTTTTTAGAGAGCATCTAGAGGTGATTAATTCTAGGGGAGAAATACCTTGTGTTGAGTTTGCACAAATTAGCATAAAAAGTAGATACTGTATGTAAAATATTTACGTATATTGAGCAAAAAAAATAAATCACGCGTTGGTTCCACACAAGCAGGTTAAAATATCAGTGTAACATATATTTCCAGTTCATGGCAATGCAGTGCAATCTGTAATAGATTGTGATATAATCCCCATCTCACCCATCTAGATTCTTCACTCCTAGCAGTTTCAGGGAAATTGTAGGCCTAGTTATTATATCTTTAAGGCTCCCTAACCTCATAAAAATGTACTTGAAACAACAAATGAGCCAGATATTGTGAACATCATAGGTCTAAAACCTTGTCTGAAATACCACTTTCTGATTGCACTGATACCTGTAAGTATTTAAAAAATAAAAAATAAAAAATAATTAATAAATAGATATTATAATATTTCTTATCAATGGCATTTTATGTACTTTATATATACTGTTTCTGTGAGACTATTGTGGATTTGGCCCGTCGATCTGTGTGATACATTGATGTAAAAGGCCATATTTTTCACGGACAGAATCTTTTCAGGGAGTTGTCTGATCTGCGTACAAAACGAAGTCTTGTTCTTGAGTAAGGCCTAAACGACTATGGAAAAGACTCAAACTAGCGTGTGTGTGTGTGTGTGTGTGTGTGTGTGTGTGTGTGTGTGTGTGTGAAGTGGAACTCAATGTAATATTTATATGTGCGTTGTTGCATGAATTTGCTCAAATCAATGTTTCTGATACAGCTTTTTCATAGCCCACTGATAGTCCTCATATCTTTCACTGCTTCGTTTTGTAATAATATGTCTAGTGCCATACCAGTGATAACGTGGACCTTTATGTTCATATCATGGTATCCGTGAGAGACCCAAAAAAAATATATCATGATTGAGGTGTAAGCACAGAATTACACTAGAATTCTAGAATGAACATTGGCTACAGGGGTGGCCATCTTGGACTGGTGTTCTATTTCTACGCGTGAAGGTGAACTTTCTCTCAAGGGCATCATTGATTGAGCAACTGTGTTTGATGTGCATTGCAATAATTCCCCATGCAACGGTCGCTACTATCCCCATCCAATTTCAGTTATGTAGACTTGTATAACACTGGCTTGCTGTATCAAACTGTAGTTATTTTTTTTGGAGTTGTGACAAATAACAACATAAAGTCTATGTGAAATAAATCGCTGGCGTCAGGAAAAATATCAATTACAACACTGCTTTATAATGCAGATTACAGCACTGCTTTATAATGCAGAGGACGATTATAACATTTTAAATCTAAACAATTGAACGTTGTTTTAATCTTGATATGTCTTTATTTCTTTCCTTGCCAGTAGTGAGAAAACTACCTTTTGAGAGGATATGGCATTTGTGTAATAACCCACTGAATTATCATGAACGTTCATTGGCTTGAATGAATCTTCGTCGATGCGACGTCCATTCTTTTCCTTATTGTTTGCTGAACGTAATAATAATGAATTCTCTGCAAGGGTGTTAAAAATATATACAAATACTGAAAAAGTACTGAAGAATGTTGCTACATTTGGGCTTTGAGTCCGACGTTTATGTATAAATTATAAATGTGATTGTATGGGTCCTGATAATATTGTGTTTATTGGAGAGGTTTGTTGATGTCAAAAAAGTGTTATATATATAAATGCTCAAATCATTTTATAAAGAAATATCTAAACAATAGTCATTTATTTTCCTTTCCTTCCTGTGTTCTCATCCGAAGTTCTTCCCAGGGGGCAATACTGTTTGAAATTACATACTTTCAACCAGATTAATGTTAATTGGTTGAAATTGGTGTAAACTGGCTGTAATGACATAATTTCAACCAGCTTTGCCCGTTGGGTTAAAGCACTGAATGAAGTCTCAGAACCTTCTCAATAGCTCATCCCACAGAGCCGCTGACTGTCTGAGGGAAAGACATATTAGTCTGAGGGAAGACATATTAGTCTGAGGGAAGAGATATTAGTCTGAGGGAAAGACATATTAGTCTGAGGGAAGACATATTAGTCTGAGGGAAAGACATATTAGTCTGAGAGAAGACATATTAGTTTGAGGGAAGACATATTAGTCTGAGGGAATAAATATATTAGTCTGAGAGAAGACATATTAGTCTGAGGGAAGACATATTAGTCTGAGGGAAGACATATTAGTCTGAGGGAAGAGATATTAGTCTGAGGGAAGACATATTAGTCTGAGGGAAGACATATTAGTCTGAGAGAAGACATATTAGTCTGAGGGAAGACATATTAGTCTGAGGGAAGACATATTAGTCTGAGGGAAGACATATTAGTTTGAGGGAAGACATATTAGTCTGAGGGAAGACGTATTAGTCTGAGGGAAGACATATTATTCTGAGGGAAGACATATTAGTCTGAGGGAAGACGTATTAGTCTGAGGGAAGACATATTATTCTGAGGGAAGACATATTAGTCTGAGGGAAGACATATTAGTCTGAGGGAAGACATATTATTCTAAGGGAAGACATATTAGTCTAAGGGAAGACGTATTAGTCTGAGGGAAGACATATTAGTTTGAGGGAAGACATATTAGTTTGAGGGAAGACATATTAGTCTGAGGGAAGACATATTAGTCTGAGAGAAGACATATTAGTTTGAGGGAAGACATATTAGTCTGAGGGAATACATATTATTCTAAGGGAAGACATATTATTCTGAGGGAAGACATATTAGTCTGAGGGAAGACATATTAGTTTGAGGGAAGACATATTATTCTGAGGGAAGACATATTAGTCTGAGAGAAGACATATTAGTTTGAGGGAAGACATATTAGTCTGAGGGAAGAAATATATTAGTCTGAGAGAAGACATATTAGTCTGAGGGAAGACATATTAGTCTGAGGGAAGAGATATTAGTCTGAGGGAAGACATATTAGTCTGAGAGACATATTAGTCTGAGGGAAGACATTAGTCTGAGGGAATACATATTATTCTAAGGGAAGACATATTAGTCTGAGGGAAGACATATTAGTCTGAGGGAAGACATATTAGTCTGAGAGAAAGCTGAACTGTTTCTGGTTAACCACCTGTTCTAATATTTTTTTTCCTAATATGTTCTAATCTTCAAACCAATGCTGGCACTAAGACCACACTCAACGAGCTGTATAGGGCCATGAGAAAACAAGAAACGCTCATCCAGAGGCGACGTTCCTAGTGGCCAGTGATTTTAATGAACTGAAATCCGTTTTACCTCATTTCTACCAGCATGTCAAGTGTACAACTACAGGTGTAAAAACTCTAGATCACCTTTACTCCACACACAGAAACGCATACACAGCTCTCCCTCACCCTCCATTTGGCAAATCTGACCATGACTCTATCCTCCTGATTCCTGCTTACAAGCAAAAACTCAAACAGGAAGTACCAGTGACTCGCTCAATACAGAAGAGGTCCGATGAAGCTGATGCTAAGCTACAGGACTGTTTCTCTAGCACAGACTGGAATATGTTCCAGGATTCATCCAATAACATTGAGGAGTATACCACATCAGTCACCGGCTTCATTAATAAGTGCATCGACAACGTCGTCCCCACAGTGACCGTACGTACATATTTCAACCAGAAGCCATAGATTACACACAACATCCGCACTGAGTTAAAGGCTAGAGCTGCCACTTATAAGAAATCCTACTACGCCCTCCGACGAAACATCAAACAGTGAATACAGGACTAAGATCGAATCCTTCTACACCGGCTCTGACACTCGTCAGATGTGGCAGGTCTGGCAAACTATCACAGATTACAAAGGGAAACCAAGCCAGGAGTTGCAGAGAGAACAGTCTATGATGTGGCAGGGCTTGAAAACTATTACAGACTACAACGGGAAGCTGCCCAGTGACGCCAGCCTACCAGACGAGCTAAATGTCTTCCATGCTCGCTTCGAGGCAAGCAACACTGAACCATGTATGAGAGCACCAGCTGTTCCGGATGACTGTTTGATCACACTTTCCGTAGCAGATATGAGTAAGACCTTTAAACAGGTCAACATTCACAAGGCCGCAGGGCCAGACGGATTACCAGGACACGTACTCAGAGCATTTGCTGACCAGCTGACAAGTGTCTTCACTGATATTTTCAACCTCTCCCTGACCCATTCTGTAATATCTATATGTTTGGGCATAGTCCCTGTGCCCAAGAACTCCAAGGTAATCTGTCTAAATGACTATCGCCCTGTAGCACTCACATCTGTAGCCATTAAATGCTTTGAAAGGCTGGTCATGGCTCACATCAATACCATCATCCCAGACACCCTGGACCCACTCCAATTCGCATACCGCCCCAACAGATCCACAGATGACGCAATCTTTATTGCACTCCACACTGCCCTTTCCCACATGGACAAGAGGAACACCTATGTCACAATGCTGTTAATTGACTACAGCTCAGCGTTCAA